TCACATTGCTACTCACATCCAGGAAAAAAATGCGAAAATTCACATACGAAGATATGCTCTGGTAGCCATTTTTTAAGGACTTTCATTTGAATGAGGGTCCAAAAAATTCAGGTTTCAATATCTCTTGGATAATGCTTATTTCTTTCTGAGATGGTTGCGAACGTGAGATGAATACCAAGACGACCATGGGGTTCGCTCCGCCTTTATTTGCTATTCAGACGTCTTCTTTGGGCAGTGTAGTCCTGACCACATACATGGAACATGGTCTACTTTCGCAGCTTGAAAATAGCAACGAGCATTAGCTAGGGAGCGACCGCCCCGCAAACTGTCCACCGGAACACCCACCTTTTATTTCTAAGGCTCCCTGGTGGTGCGATCGTAATCTTTTTAAAGGTTCACCTGAACTGAAGCCGGATAGCGTCCACTTGTGTGTTCGCCTGCGAAGAAGATTCGCTCTTCACCAGTGTAAGACCCGTCTTCTATGCGAGCTCGGACAGGTTCTGCTAACCTGTCCCACAAATCACCTGGAAAAAAATCGAAAAGAAAAGAAAAGAAAATGAAAAAAAAATCGTGTGCTCGCGTAATTATCGCCACCTCTGGCTAACCCAATATTAGAGAAACTATTCCTTACTGAACAGAATTACCTTCACTTCCGCACGGTATATAAGCGTAGGCTCCCGAGGCAAATGGATCTTTATGCCATCGAGTGATGACTGCTTCTACTGGCTGAAACAAAACAAAAGAAAACTTCAGCTGAGAACCAGACAGGGTTAGGGAAATCCTGAACTCACCCCTTTCGGGCACGCTGAACCGAAAATATTGGCCAACACGTTCATGGCCTTTCGGACTATGACCTGAATAAAGAACACTATGACAGTTCAACAGCTGGGAGACACACAGCGCTGTTCGGATTGGGAGGGACATTTTGCTCGTTCGCTAGTTCCTTTTGCTAGTTCAAATAACAGGTCTCAGCCCTGTGAAGCTGCGAGACGGTGCACGTGAGCCACTTTAGTTACATGATGAATACTTCCTCAAAAGGTGACCTGTACAGGCTTCACAGGATACCTTTTGTTGCTCACACCAAGCAAGTGTGCCGGCAATACTACCACAACAATAATACAAACTATAAACTTAGCAACATACCTCATTCGGCGTCTCCAAATTAGCTGCCTCTCCAGCCATCATAGCAATCAAAACGGGTGCTTTACTCAGCGCAGTAAACATAAACATTTCTCCTCGGGATGCCCTTGAAACATATCAATGGATCCATTGACTTTCGGAACTCTAATTCAGTGTAGAAATCAAAAAATAATGTTAGAAGCCCTACTTTGAATGATTCAAAGTGTGACCGACAGTAATCTGAGTGACATCCCAGAATGGACGAGAGTAAAGAATCAAAACCGACCTAAAATTAATAAATAAGCACAATTTTCATGAAACATTCAGACGACACCGTGGCACGCCACTCCAGCGAACCGAACCACTGCTGAGAGAATGGTGCCGCAGCTGTAATCCAGCTTTCTCAACTCCAAGTACAGAGGGAGCGCCGTGGAGACAGTGACATCCGATGCCAGCTCCATAACTACGCGGCCTGATCCCTCCACCAGTGCAGCACATCGGTAAGGTACGGCGCGAAACACATACACAGCGGTAGAGAAACAGCCAGAAAGTGAAAGGAATTGCAGACAAGTAGCGCGCTCTGGTCCGTCGTTGTGGCTGATCGTGGGCGCTACGCGGGGCGAGTTGGAGACGACACGTGCTACCACTACCCGCCAACCCCGTTCCTCTGTTTTGACGCAGAGAAGCAGCCGTGGACCAATCGTCTCCGAAGGCCAGACCCAGGAGATCTAATGTGAGGTGAAGTGTAGAGTTAGCTCCTAAATACATATTGAAAAAGACCAAAAAGAAACCTTGTTGAAATTTCCAAATCCCATTTCATTGATGGCATCAATGGTTGGTTCCGGTAAGGGCGGTTCAAACTTCGGAGCCTCATTACAGTTGCCAACTGAACGCTTCAAAACACCCAGCGGTATAGCACACCAAGCACAATCGCCTTCCACCGTAGTTTTTGTGTCATCGGATTTGTAAGTAACTTCCACTCCTAAAATGGGCATTTACGGCTCGTTCTTAAACCCCAATTGGTTGCATCTGCGTGTCTGAATGAGAAAAGGGGAAACAAGGAGCGCATACCTTTGGCATTGATTTGATCGTTTCGACACAGCATTCTGGCTGATCAATCCTGCCCGAGGTCACATGGCTGACCCAGGAGAGTCAAAAAAATGCGCCCAAATAGACCATCACGAACTGGAATATTATGACTATATCAGTGTCAGATAGAGTTGTAAACCCTTTTACACGAACTCTGACCCCCTAACATCAGGAGACCGAATTGGGTTGCTCGAGAGAGTCGCGTTGGGAATAGGAGGAGGCCAATGTGTTGAGATTGTAGGGGTAGGGTGTGAAAGGGAGTCTTACATGCGAGACCCTCCTTGGGGAGTGGAACCGTATTGATACCCCATCTCGCATATCCCGACGGCGTGCCCTGTACAGCGCAAGCCAAGAAGTTATTAGGTTGGCGGGAAAGTTCTGTCATATATTTTTGAACCCAAAATATTTGCTAATTTTCTGAAAAGCGTTAACCGGTAATATGAGCACTTATACATCAAAGAATGGTCTTTCTATTGGTATCACTGGCTTGACTCCTGCCTCTCCTTATCGTGCAATATGAACAAGAATGTTATCCGCTACATCACGACGCCCTCCAAGTGCTTCCTCAAACTCTTTCTTCTACCGCCCTGGCGCCAGCATGACAGCTGTCGACGCCGAAATAACGGAGCTGCACATGGACAATGTCTACAGTCATCTGACAATCTTCCACGACGCTGGCTCTTCAGAGCGGGAGGCTACGGTGCGAATGGCGAAGTGATGTTTGGGAGTACCTGTGATCTCAGCTTGAGATAGCTGTGGGCCGGGAAACTACTGTATAAAGAAGCTGTCTCCTCGGTTAATCCGTACGCAAGGCAGCTACGAGATCTGAAGCGAATCGTCAAGCAGAGGGCAAAATCCATCGGCACAGTCCGTCTTCAACGTGCTGGTGCAGCACACCCCGTCAAAAGAAGTTCGAGCCGTACTTCATGCAATGGAGCTGGATGGCTCTCCCCTTGCAATGATGTAGTCCAGACATTGCTCTTTCTGGCTGCTAGTCAACTCCTGTATTCAACCGTTGCACAGCCGAGAAAACCTCCACGACTTGAGCCCAAGTCAAAGTTGAGATGATGTCCAACATTGCGTCGTGCCAGCCTCCATTGTGAAGCGATGGCATCCACGAAGTGCTCGAAAACTGGCAGGGATTCCGCAATGACATTGCTGTATAATTTTGATCTTGTACGCCTCTCTATAAAAAGAAAGCCTTGTTTGAAAAAATGTGACAGAACTTTCCCGCCAACCTAATACTTGTGGTCTCAGCGCAGCAGAGCGGAGTTTTGCCGTGCCGTAGAATGCCAAATGTAAAAGAAGCGTTGAACGACTGTCGTTACAGTGGTTTCACACGTTCTGGAGAACCTCAGAGCTCGTGATCTACCACACTGGGTGCAGGTCGCCATATATCGCGCGATATGAATGAGGTGGACGGGTGTGAGACGGAGTTGGTACTAAGAAGAGGACGGATGAGTAGGGAAACGACACGCTGGTATCACTACACTACAGTAAAGTAAGTTTCCTTGGCTTTTCGAGCGGAAAAAGCGGCGCGCTACTGCAACTACGGACCCATTCATGTTGTACACAACACGGACCGTCCTCAGAGATAGAAATACCGTCTTCGTTTCTAGAAAAATCAGAAAAAGGGTCTATACTCACTTGCCATATGTGATCCAGTGAACTGAAACTCATCATCCTGATCGAAGTGCTGCAAAGACAATTTATCCAACGTTCCTCCACTAACGAACTCCAAATTGGCAAAATGGAAATCGAGAAGGCGACGATCACGCTGGTTCATGTAAACCTCGCTGAAATAAAGGAACTGCTCTCGGAAGTGTCTTAATAGCAGGGCTGTACAGCTCAAACCTTACGAGATACCAGCGACACTATGCCGGAGTAAAGCACCAGCACTGCGAATAAACGAACCTTGGTTCTTGCTTTTTCAGATTTCGAAGCGTTGTTTCCAGATTACGGAACCGCTCTCTTGCAGCATCGTACCGCTTAAAGATGACTGTTTACACTATACCCTTCTAATTGTAAGCATCAGTGGAAGATGACACTCACTTTTATTGCTTCTCCCAAATCCCTCTTGTAACAACGGCGCAGAATATCCTGCTCAAGTCTGGTATCCGCATTCTCCGAACGCAACAGTGAGGTATCCTGGTTTTTTAGCTTGTCCGCTAGATACGCTGCACTCTTCTTGTATAGAGTCATCTGAAAAGTTCGCAAGCTTAGGAAGTGCTTTATTTCTCAAGAACATCTTCAAGGTTTCAGGAAGTTCACGAAGGTCCTGTGACAACCAGAAATGGTGACGATCAAAGGACCCAGACCTCTTTTGTTTGCTTTCTGCTTTGCCTGCTCATTGATGGAAACGACAAAGCCCCTTATTATTCCCAGTCCAAAAAGATATTCACATTTCTCCCAGTGCGAATCAAATCACGACTCAAATCAATCCACTACTGGGTGCAAGTTCTCAGGAATGTCGATGATTGGAGGCGCGTTGGAGGCAGCGCTCTGAACGCCCACTAATAGAAGAAAGAAAAATGGAAGTTTTGGCAACTAGATCGATTTAGTCACCAAAGTAAGAAAGGGTTTTGAAGGACCTTTGAGACCGTTTTTTCGGAAAACTTCTACAGAATTGCTTAGATAGAAGTTGCTCTTCTGCTCGTTTACAAAGGCACTTCTCTCTCATGACGAGCATTTCGATATATATCAAGCTATTCAAGCTGATAATGCATCCTTTCTTGAACTGCTTCATCTTTCCAGATATCTTCATTAATTCTGCCAGAATTGAGTGCCTTTCGCTGGCATTTACGTAAGCTGCCAGCATTCTGAGATTACCTAGCGATAGTGAAGAGAACAAATATTTTAGCTACATTCGCAGTGTAGTCATAAAATGGTAATGTTGAGCTCACTCAGTTATTATTGTGAAGCGTCGCAAGACTCGCTTTTTTCCATTCACTTCAGTAAACATGCAGGGATGTGCAATTGTAGACGCTGATGTCGACCAATTTTCTAAATAAAAAGAACGATACATTTTGCCCACCGTTTTGAAAGCAATGTGTACTACGCAAGCTGTTTCGGACAGCGTATTTAGAGGACACGCTCTTGCAAAAGCTCGAAAACATTCTTCTTTTTGAGCGTATTACATTGCGGACATTAGGTTCAAACCCTCTGTGAGAAGTGTCGTGATTGGGAATGCCTGCAACCTCTTCCCCTTCCCCCCCCTTACTCTGTGTACAATTCACCTCTGACGGCGACCCATACCAGTGCGAGGTGAATGGTCTGCTCTTGCAGTAGCGTGCCACTTTCCCCGCTCAAAATATATGGGAACGGGCAGCGGGTAATGATACCCTGTCCCTGCAATCTCCATACTCCGCCAGCGCTGTCTCCAATATGTGGCGCTTCGCGTCAGCACCAAGATCCCGTAGCGGAGCCCGCGATCAGTAAAGAGAGAGTTCAGACAAGAAGCACGCATGGTAACGCGTGTGGCTGGCCATGCGGCGGCGAGGGCGGGGCAAGGGGGCGGTACTCGGGTAAAGCTACCCTCAAGCCCCGTTCTGTCCTTTTTGAGCGGACATATTTGCAGGGTACTGAAGCTTCGTATCCATTCACCTCGCACAGGAAGCAAGGAGCAGGATCTAAGGGGTGAGTGCACAACTTGTCTTCATGGCTGCTCCCCTACGTTTTTTATCGAGGGAAAGAGGTCCCATTGCTCAGCAGGACAGAATCGCTGAGCAGCCTTACTCTTACCGTCGTGAAGCCATTTCCAATCCGCTAGCGCCAAAATATTACCAGCAGATCTTACTTGAAAGCTTCTGCAACAAGTTCGTCTTTTCGTTGATCAACAAGTTTGCCGTATTCGTCGTAAATTGGACAATCTGGCGCAATTCGGATTGGAGTGCACTGCGTTTGTCGCATCATCGTCACAATTGGATTTCCATCTGAAATACGACGATAGTCAATCTTAAATCGCGGATTTAGAGTAGCATTCATTGCTACAGGATTTTTATAGGGAGATCGTTTGCGCTCTTGTATCGATCATGAGTAATCGTACTAGGATTCGCCAATTTCCCACTGCCATGTAACAAACGAAGGTACAACTCACGAAGGCGAGATATCTTGGTAAGCGCCGCATCTTTCACACCTATAAGGAATGTCAAATCATTTTCATGGCAGTTCTCATAACTACACACAGGTGATCACTCATAAAACATGTCAGTCCAACCCTTCCATCTATGCTTTAAAGACTTCCAATTTCTCCGGTGACAGAGTGACGGTGGAACAATTAGAAAGTTTCCGACGAGACTTGTAGTAAAATTACTTACTTATTCCTGTGACAACCATAGCTCCCAGATCGGCGACGATACTGGAGTCCTTCTGGTGGTACGTGTGCACTCGACCTCCCAGCCGTTTCTGCAGAGTTAAAGTTATAAAACTGAACTCCTTGGGGATAGCATGTGCCAACAAAATGAAAACTACTGCAGGTGTTCAGATGCTTCTAACAAGGCGGCAAGCAGCAAAAAAGGATGATTTGTCGGAGTATGGGAAGGAAAACGTCACAGTCCGAGTACGAACGTTTCGCTGTATCAGCGGGAGCACAACATACTATTTGGTGGTATCCTACCCTTCTAGTTTACTGAAAAATGGAACGTTTGGTCCACGTTCATACTCAAAGCACGGTAATACACGAAATATAAATGATTCCTAGGAAATGAGGAGAAGGGAGGAAGTCTAGGAACCTATCTGGCGAATCGAGAGAATAGTAGAAAAGGAAAGCGGCCCGAAGGACTAGATGAGAATCGATCAACCCCGAGTCTCTGATTCTTCGAAACTCCTAGTCTCAAAACTCGCTAGCCACCGAAATAAGGATGCCATCATCTACTATCCTGGCGCGTAATTTTCTGCTCTACCGCGACGCAAAGGCTAAACTGGTCTTAAAAAAGTCTTGATCGTGTCATGAAAGCAATGAGGATTTTCCGGGGAAAAAATAAAATCTCTGATTTCCCTATAATCTCGACCTTTTTTGGCTATTTTTAGCAGGGCTTCCACTTATTCCTTCTATCTACAGTACCGCACGATAATGCTTTTAGAAAAAGTAGCAGCACTGTGGGACTGCGCGTAACAATAATAAGATCGACATCGCGCGAGTATCCGCTCATATGGTAGTTAGACCTCTATGAGTCCATTTTCGCTTAACTGGGGATTAGATAGTTCTTTCTTAGCTGTGAAACACACTAGAAGAGGCCGCCGCAAAAAATTTATCCGCTCAAAAAACTCAAAAAGGTTCAAAAGAATACAAAAGTTCTCGCCAAATTCTTTATGATTTGCTAAATATTCCTTCTGAACATATTATCGGTGCCTAGCCACCTTTCTTAGCTATCTGGTGTGAGCTGGCTCCAATATCCGCCAATATGCTGCTCCTTGCGAACGCCGCGCCTTCTAGTGTTTTTAAGAGTTCTTCTAGTATTCCTGTTGAACAGTAAAGGGTAGGGGAGGGGGATTCGCAGCTAAGCAAGCGTACTCCCCTTACAAATTGAGAGCTGCGTTTGAACCTTTGAAGACCATGATCTGGTCGAAGGGTTAGGAACAGTAGGCTGGTTCCACTACGGAACAGTTGGCACAAAACAAGAACAACAGAAATCTTCAAAAGAGATAATAAAGAAAGAAAACTCACTCGTGCTTCCAGTAGGGTGACATCAAATCCAAAAAAGTGAAGCTGCTTCAGGGCTGCTATACCGGCTGCGCCTGCACCAATAATAATGACCCGTTTTCTTTTGGATGTAAGAACCAAAGCAGCTGAAATAAAAAAAATTTCATGACCGGACTGAGATTATCTCCTTCACGAAATAAGACGAAAAAAAACAGAAAAGAGGCAGGTAAACGTACAGGCTAGTCTGTGGAAATTCCCAAAGTTGATGAACCCATAACGTTGCAAGAAACCATGAATACGACGTACAAGTCTTCGATCACCTGCAAAGCAGATTAGCACATCCGTTGTGGCAATAAACATTCTACTTGATACTTTAGAAACTAATTTCTAAAAAAATAAAAAGACAATACGGTGACTTACTATTGAAGGGGATGGGAAGATTCTCGATGGCATCTTCACTAGTAAGCTCCACATTAGGTTCAAGATGCCACAGTTGCAGCTAAAAATGAGCATTTTGATTAAACATATGATACACATCGACGTAATTGTTGAAAAACCAGTATTTTCCATAACAACTCACTATTTTATTTCTGATGAACAAGTACAAATTTGTGGATGCCTTTGAATCGGTCACGTCAGGAAAACATACCAGTTCTTGAGCAGTTAGTTTATCATATGGTAATCTGCTGTTGGATGCAGCAGAACGGAGTGCTGAAAAAAGAGCTCTGGGCGAGCCTAGATGGAAGCAGTCTGTGTAAGACATTAAATGCCAACCTATGTCATCATCCTCCCATCTCATAGTGTCCAGTTCGCCATCCTCCAACATCTGCCGAATGGACTCGGAATCCAGTGTCTCTGAAGATCGGTCATGGCGCGCACGGGAACTATCATCAAAGTGGGACATTTCCAGGCGATTTCTGGAAAACGATCCAAAATAACAATGAACCAGAACATGCGACACCATGGAAGAGGTTTTTTTGTAATAAAAGCCATCGGTAATGGAGGAACAGCTCTGCAAATGTTCATAATCCGCGAATAGGGGAATAAACGCCGAGCAAAGCATACGTGTTGATCTGGGATAATGCGCAACCAAGGAGTAGATAGGATTTGATTGCCTCGACCCACCAGCGCTTTCAGGTAACGTGCGAGTCGGAAGTAGGCCTACGAACTAACTAAAATCATTTCCGTTGATAGTGTCAGGATTCTGTACCCACTCTCTCCCGCGTGAGATTATAGGTAACGTGCAAGCTCACACATTGCAGCTTTTCACGCCTAGATGAGTTACCCATCCCCACTTGAGAGAGCCCATCCTTATGCTAATCCTATCTGCTGCGCACCCTGATTTCTGCACCTTTCGATGCAACGTTCGGAGAGCGCGTGATTCGTTTGTGGGTCATTCTTTGCTGGGCATTCGCCTGATTGGCGAACTCTCCAAATTTTGACCCTTCACATTGGCAAAGTATGAACGCGCTCGAAAGGATCGCTCTGTGCCAAGCAATCTTTGAACTCAACATTTCTATCACGTACAGTGACGGAGTAGTACGAATAAGAACTACTGCAAGATACTGCTTAGTTGTTAAAGATAAAGGCAGTTAAACCGAAGATCCGACGTTTTTGTATGCTAAAAGCTGCATAGCTATGTTTGAGTATCACGTCTGCTCGAAACGTTAATTCGCGATTCGATGCTGAGCAAAAATAAAGGAAATTATCGAAGTAACAATGAAATGTGTACGGCGAAAAGAAATAGTTGCTTATGGGAGATCCCAATTCAAAAGAACTTGTGTTCTCTGATTTAATGCTTTATTCTTCTCATGAGCAACGAGTAACTGTGGTCAAATAGTTACGGACAATTACAGTTTCAAGAGCTTTTTTTCTTTATCGGAGATAGCAGCTAGTGGAGATGGTGCTTTCCGAGCAATAACCGATCAGTAGTTGCTCAACAGACGATGAATAAAACAAGAACGGGATGGTAGCAGAGTCATACGACTATAGAAGGGAGGAAACCACCAGACATTCACATAGACTATAAAAAAAATTATTTTCGGAATTATCATATGATCGTCGGTCGTCGAAGTTCGTATAGTATCTGAATAGCGGTAGATAGATAAAGCTGTAGCAGGTATCGCCAAATTAAACAAGTCACTACACAGCAGGAAAAACTTGCGAATAACAAACTGCTCCATGTATCTTCATAACTTTCTTTTGTTAGCTAGCTTTATAGTGAACCTTCATGTCGCTTTTGGTAGTTTCTTTGCGCAGGAGTGGTTTGCCTTTTTAAAGTTTCCTCCAGACTTAAAGACATTTATCCCAAGTACAAAGGTACACCCACATCCCTGAGACGGGAGTGAGGCTGTTGGCATTTGGCTAGCGATGGGGTGACTCGAGGCGATTCCCGCTTTTTCAAAAGGTTTTTTCTTTGCATTTTGTAGGGCTTGCCACATTAGCGCAGCAGAAGTGTTTCTTCTTGTGCCGAACAGCCCACACGCAAAATGAATGACAAGTACGTCGTCTGTACGTCATAAAGAAAAGCTAAGCGCTTTACTGTGCGCCAATGCGTTCGTCCCTGAAAATAAGTGTCAAACATTTCGGTGACGGACATCGTATTACGCCACCGATTCTGTTCCGAATGTTTCAGCAAAAAATTTTTTTTCGATTTTTTGTTTGTGGTAGACCATTTGGTCATGCAGTGCCGGATGGTCTCATCCTCGCTAAAAGGTGGTAACGGTGACGATGACTGGCGTGCCGCGGGTAGGGTGTCCGCCGTCGCAAGATGGCTGTTCGCTCCAATGGTATTTTCATGCTTGGCTATTTAGTATGGGTTGGTCGCAGGGATTCGTGGAAGCATCCCTGGGCCTTTCTCGTGCCTAACCTGCTCGCCCAGCGAGAATGTCGTTTCCGAATACACATACGCATAATAGAACGCATCGTTCAAGGTTCCTTCAAACGATGTATATCTGCCACATGAATGGGGAGTTCGAATACGAGGCATTGTAAACTTCAATAGAAACACTCTCAGGCAAAACCCAACACACAAACCCAAGAAAGTTAGAAAAATTTCATGGCCGAAAGATTGTTACAGGGGTAATCGATGGCCCCGATCACGATTTTGACACTTATTTTCGGCGCCGACGTAATTTGGCGCCTGGGTAGCGCTACACGTCCCTTATATGTGTGTACCTAACGCATTCATTGAAGAAACATGTGGCCATATTAGCGATAAATAGCACCAGCTTTAAGGGAGTGTCATATTGATTGGTTTGATTCGGGCATTGTCTAACGATCAACTTTCAATTACGGTCTTGCTTAATGGTATGTAAAACTGAAATAATTGAATAGCACCGATTCATGGAGTATCCCCATTTAAAATGTGCCCATAAATGGCAGTTATCGGACTTATATTCATGCACGGACATTTATGAACGGAAGGAAAGCAAAAGCTGAAATAATGCAAAACGTTGCGCTCTGCGGGGAATTGAACCATCAACCCTACCCTCACTGCCCGATTGACAATCCTCCACGCTATCCACTAGGCCATCCGATCACTGCTACTGACTGCCGCTCTGGTTGTCACTCCAAGAAGCCGTTCACTCTTGATCACGTGCCACAATTAGACGGGGTATGGGGTCAGTAAGACCCCATACCCCGTCTAATTTTCTCGATTCCAATAGCACTTTTACAGGGATCCGACACTGAGCAGCTGGTCAAGTTTCAAGCGGTTCCCAGCCCACAGAGGCTCGAACACAACCGGTTTCCATAGATTTCTTTTTCACTCCTTTTTTGGTATTTCAGGGGTGTGCAAGGCCCTACAAAATGCAAGAAAGCCAGTTCGAAAAAGCGGGTGCACTCCTTGAACGACCTCCCCTGTCACAGGATATTTCAACGTCAGGCAACGGTAACCTTGTCCTGTTCTGTTATGACAGGACAGAGACACGACCACAATTGTCTCGAATTGATATCTCACCAAAGGCACAGTCACTGCCACGTTTAGTTGATGCACACAGCCAGCCTATCTCAGGGATTTTGCGTGTAATTTCAAGGGTCCAATACTAAACCTTGCCCAAGTAACAACAGATTTAGCAAAACTATTTCCAACCTTATCAGCCGCCTTCTTTGAGTCAGCAAGAGTTTTCAAATAATTTGACATAGTTCGTAGTTCGGACGCTTCTACTGAAAACGCGGTAATTAAAAAAAATGAAACAATACAAGCCCGCTCAGTTCTACAACTTCAACAAGGACCGCAACGGCCACACTGTCAGAACGCGAATCACTTGCAGGTTACATACGAAGAAGAGGCGAATGGAAAGCTTTCGTCCGGTCCAGCCTTTGAGCGAGCGCTCTGCACACGGCAACTCTGTAGCTTTCAAAAAAGTTTTTTTTTGTAAAATTTAACGTTCCCTATCCGACTACTGTATTTGACAGCTCTTCTGAAAAAATTCACGAGGGTTGGTAAGAAGCAACCCTCCAGTAGATTACCCCATGATAATTCACCACATTCTAGAGTGCCGGGAAAAAGTGGAGGGAAAAAGTAAGTGAGCTTTCAATGTATACCAAAAACGAC